GAGATGTGAATTTATAACAAAATATCATGGTCAATCTGACTTTACTACTATATATTACTCAATTCGAACAATTGTTGTTAATAAATAAGCTTGCGTATAGCAAGTAATTTTTTTTAAATTGATTTAATAATAAACGCATATTTAAGTTTGATATATTGATCTATATTAGTGTTCGACCGATATTTCTATGCCACGACCAAGAACTTACAAAATAAAATGGATATATCTAATATGCACTTGTTTTAATAAACTATTTTAATTAAAGATAAAATTTCAAAATTTGAAACTCAAGTATCAGAAATTCATTATTAATACTAGAGTTAACATGATCCATAAAACGGTAAATAAATATAGGAATAGAAAGCGTTTATTGTGGATAATATAATTGTTCAAATAAAAAACACGAATAATATTCGATCAGTTTAATAAAAAATTAATCGTAAACATGGTTTGTTGTAAAAGATTAAAATTTTTATATTATTTATTTTTAAGATTCAAAGTCTTTACTTGACTTTGTTCCAATTAGAACTTTATCATTCAACAAGACAAACTTCTTTATTATTAACAAATTTAACTAACAACGAAAGAAAGGTGACGACTCTGATTTTTGCAGAAGTCTAGTCAATCTTACACTTATTATCTCATTAATGTTCAAACTCTTTTTTTACAATAAAAAAATGACAAAAATAAAGTCTATATTCGTTGATTACTTTAAAAATTCTGTTGCAGAAAAAAAAAATATTATAATTAGAAGTAGGACTCTTCAGTTGTCAATGATAAACGATGTCGCTAATATAGGATAAAATTTATTCTAGAGTGAATTCGTTTTCTAAAACGGAATACAACTTTTATTAAATACCGCGTTTATATAAAAAGATTGGAATTCATTCAATAATGTGGTATCGAATTTATCGATTACTCGCAATTAATCGTTTCTAAAGCTTTGATTCTAATATTCGATTTTCAGTTTTGATTAATCGATTTTTTTTTATGGCGGCGCAGCGATTTTTTTGATCACCAACAAGAAAATTCTGAATTTTTTGAATTTAACTTCAGGTTCGGTGCAGCGACATAATGAATTTAATTTTCAGGGTTTTTTATTTTTAATATATTATATGGGTTGATTGCTAGGAAAATCAGGTTCCGGGAATTTTTTAGCAAAAATGAGATTTTTATTGCATTTTAGTTTTTTTAAAAAGTATTAAGCTCTTAATTTTAGTCAAAAATTTCTCGCTCCATATAGTATTCCGAGCCGGTCGAATCGTCCCGGAAAAAGCAATAACCTTAAATTATAAAAATGTTTAAATTGAGGAAACTTGAATATTTATTAGTTTACGTCTTAGCAGGAAACTTCTATATCAAGAAATGTCATAAGAACATAAAGGATAATGCTTCACTTTTTAATATATCTGGAAATTTCGAGCAATAATTTACGTTTTAAAATAACTTTTCCGATTGATTAATAAATAGATCGTATATTTTTCGCTGATTGCAACTATTGGTAAAAAAAAATAAAAATTACATATGAAATTTGTCAGGTAAATTACATTATTTATATATTAAATAAAAGTATTGCTATGTCTACAGCTAAACGAAAAAACAATATAAAATTTTATAGTGGTATATATGAAATTGCTTTATTACTAAAATTCATGATTTTCTTAGTCCTACATCCATGTACTGTAGTTTATAGTTCGTGATAAATTATTATCATTAATCTAGCGGTTTTACCGCTAACGCGACATGAGATAGGTTTTGAAAACTTAATTTATTAAATTTTAGCATATTTATAACAAGAAAATTTAAAATTAATAATACAATTTATTGATGTCTTTTTTTTATAAATAATCCAATCTTAATCATTGGTGTTTTAATAAAAACATAATCTGACTCTAACTCTAACCCTAATCCTAATTCTAACATTAATTCGTAATTGAATATTATTATTTAAATTTTATTTATTAATCGATTATTTTATTTTTAATTAATTAAATTATTGTTAATTTTTCATTTTATTGAATTCTTTTTATTTTAACAATTTAATTTTTAAATTTGATTTTTTTAATTGATTTTTTAATTTTATTAATTTTTTCGAATGTATTCTTTTTTTTAATTCCGAATTTTTTTAATTTTACCCTCCGCGATTTTTTTATTTTTTTGAAATTTAATAATGAAATTCGAAAATAGAATCTTTGGGTCGAATATTGCGAAACGATATAATCACGATTATATCGATTCTCAAATCGATTCTAAATATCGAAATCAATTCCAATCAGGTAAAGAATGGTAAAGTACCTCGTTAAACCAATATAATTTTCCATACAAATTGCGAAAATGACAATAGTAAGCTAGTCTAGGAGAATCTTCAATTTTAGATAGATTTATAAAATAACTGAATCCAATTCATGTCATCATAGAAGATCAACTTGTATGTATAACACCCAACTTGATATCTGCCTTGCAAAAGGCGTGTACAGTATCTTTACGATTTGTACTTTATGATGCCGCAACTGCTCTAACTGAATTAGAAAAAAAAATAAAAAAAATTAACAGAACACTAAAAAAGATCAAAAATAGAAATTCAAAAAAATGTTCGATATTGTCTTTACTACTTAGATTTTCTTTGAGCCAACATGCTCGACAAATTCGCGTTGTTCTTATTTTTGATTATGATGTGGATGCGCCAATCACCAAAAACAATCTCTAAATTCATCATCTTGATTCTTCCATAATTGCTTGAATATATTTGATAATTTCTTTTTTGTCACGGGAAAATGAATCGAACACCATACCAACAAGCGTCCAAGAATCTTATCTTAGTATTGTAAAATATTTAACCTCGTAGTTGACAGACATAACATGATGCGTGGGATATATTTTAATGCTGCGGAAGTTTCACGAATTCGTGTTAGGTTCTTTTTTTTCTTTTGCAAAACGATGCTATAGATTATTGTAACTTACGTTTCAGTCCAATAGATAATGAAAGTGTAAAATAAAAAATAAGATTAGAGAAATATTTGCGACGTTAGAAATTCATATCATTACCATAATTATTTACCGTACATAAAAAAATTCATATTAAGGTTCAATTTTCATGTACATAATTGATTTTTACCATTATTATTTTTACATTTTGCTAGTAAAGAATAAACAGACCTAGCTTGATTCCTCTCATTAATTGTATAAATTATTGCATTTTTCCGCCCAAGTAGAAAAATAATGAATGCCGACGATCAATTTACTTGAAGGAATACTATTCAGAAATAGTTAATTTGGAGTAACAACATAAACAAGATTCAATTTTTTTTTAAGAATAATGTGTGTGAGAAAAAAAAGAGATACGTAATTCTGATATCCTTATATCATGCATTTATTAAAATCATGTGAAACAACGAAGCCCGTAATGATTTGATGGATTTGGATCTATGTCATGACTACTTACTTCATTTGTAGGTTCTAGATAAGGCAAGAATTCCATATTAAGCACTACAAATTAGAAAGCTTGAGAATTAATTCCTTCCTCTAACTTCGTTCTGATAACATAATGAGTAAGCATATTTTCGAAAATTTCAGTCATTGTGCTCATTCAATTTATTTTTGTTATTCGTATCTGAATACATAATTTTTCAACTGAAGGCTAAATTTGAAATCTACCGTTTAAGGTATGAATATTGTGGAATGATTTCTATGAAAATTCAGTTTCTGAAAATTCTAATCAATATTTTATTATAAACGATTGAAAGATTACTTTTTAACATGACCATGATGTGATAATTACTGCGGAATTAGGTACGTTGCTACTTTACATAAATAGCATATTATTTTTGCTTGTCCAATCAGATTCGTTTTGAGAGAATGATTTGTTCTTCAAGTAAAAAAAATAGTTCTATCAAATGTCATCGATCAGTTGACGTGATGTATTTCAATGATAGGAATTTAGATTTGTTTTTTAAGCAATATTGCGCAGGATAAATTATAGTTCCAAGCCATACCATATTGCGCAAGATCCAAAATTGCGCAAATAAACTGCTGAATCCTGAATGCCACTATTAATCTCAGATCCTTGCAATATTTCGCTAAATTCAACTACAGAATCTCAGATCTGCAAATGTTCCTGTGCAGTATCGTTGAATCTGTAAATAAATAGATCAAATCCGCAATAATCGCGGATTTAGGATAATCCACAAAGATTAGGAATAACATGAATATGGGAATCCACAAAAATTGCGCAATGTAATTGCTCGTGTCTTTATTTACTATTTACCAAAACTTTTTGCTTTATCAATGAAACAGAGCCACACCGTATAATTATAAAGCTAGCATGGAGAACACGCTACTCTCCAAGAAATTGCTTTACAATTTGCTTTTTATAACCCAAGTTTTCTTGGCAAACATACAAAATTCCAAAATGTTCACCAAATTTATTTATTTCATGATGCTTATGGCCTGCGCTCCAGCTGCTATTGCTACATTTGTCGAAGTTGTGGGATCAGCGAACAGCAATATGTTTCTAGTACTTCCAGGTACAGAACTCACCGCTAATGTATGCTTTCGGGCAGACACTGGATATAACAGTTGCTTGACCTTCTTCACTAAGGATGATCCAAATGGAAAAAGTTCTTGTTCTTCCGATAATGTCTGGTGTTTTAAAGTTGTTTCTGTTGACGGCAGCAAAGGAAGAATTGATTATTCAATCATGTTTGGGAACCGAGAATCAAATGTACAATCATCTGTTGATAATGATTTTAAATGTGAAACTGTTTTAAATGTAATGCAGTGTAAATTTGTTATTCCTAATCACGGATTTGACATGTAATATAGATATTTATTTCTTATAAAGGTCATGTTTTAATTGTTCATTTTGACTAGGTAGTTATAAAATATTCTATATTATATTTTTACAATTACTCATTTTGATGACTAGAAAGATTATGAAAAATTCTATTTCATAGTAATAATTTTTTTATTATATTAAAATGGTATTACTTTTGTTCAAATAAAGTTGATATTTTAACCTTATTGAATGAAAAGATTTCTTGTACGCCGCCGAAATAATTCGCATTTCAAGTGATAACCAGCTAATACATTTTTTATATTTTGATTGGTGGTTATATCTTAAATTTTGTTAAATCAATACAGTTGCAGACGATTGATTTTGAATGATCAAAAGTTTTCCGGCATATGAAGATCCTTCAGGACTTAAAAATGTTGATGGATAAAGCCAACACCATTAATAGACCGGCACTACAATACCTTGCGGTGCTTGGTCATGTAAAACCTATCTATTCTTTTGAGTAACAAAGATTCAGGGTTAAATTATCATAATAGAATTAGATTAATAATTTATGACCTCTTCGGATTAATCAATAATTTTAAATCGGATTCATCTTTAATTTTGTGCAACATCCCAACACTTTACATACTCCAGTCGGCAGTATATCTAAGAGTAATTTATTAACTATTAATAATCTTAAAAAATGAATTTATTATTTTTTATTTTATTTCTTTAGAGAATATCATAATAACTTTATCATTTTTTATCTATTTTAAAAATATTATTTATTTTATTATATTTATAAATTAAATTAATCAAGAAGATGCTAATTTTAACATCGTTCATGATAAACTTCGTGGGTGAAGACTATATAACATTTAACTTATGAAAATTCAGTTGAAGAATACGGATGATATCGCAATTCTAGTATCTCCAAATAATTCCCAACCTTTAATGTTGCAATATTTATGATGAAATGATTTTCTATTAGAAAATGCAGGTTTACATGAATAATCTGAAAATTCACGTATAAAATTCTATCTATCGTTGAGGCAACACTGATTTATTTGATATTATTAAATAAATTTAGCGTCAACATTACTTTATTTTATTCAATAAAACCTTCTGTTTGCATTAAAAATTGTTTATAAATACATAAACGAAAGAACAGAATACAAAACTTGCAAATGATCTAATTACTTTTTAAATGGGAAATTTTCAATTATATCAAAATAAAATTTTCTTCGATATATTTATATTCTTTTGGAAATTCTGATTTATGCCATAAATAATTATGGTAGCTTGAAATGCTCAGCAGTAAATTTAATCATGTACATATTAAGCTTCATTTAAATACAAGACATGCTTTTTTGACAATTTGAGAAGCACAAAGTTTTTTGTATCTTAATCATTAAAATCAACAAGCAATTTATTAATTTCACAATTGTATTAATAAAATTTAGTTAAACAATTTTACAAATTACTTGCAACGCATTATAATCCAAATAGCTTTATATATAGTACTAAATCCTCCTTTATCAAAATATTTAATATTTTCAAATTTATTATAAGGAATCCACTCTAATAATTGTCTTTTATTTTGAATATTCAGTTGAGTTTTTTGAATAAATTTATCAATAAATTATTTTTACTAGACCAATTAGGAAAATTTTGTTGTAGTAAATAAGAATTGCATTATTTACACTATTTATATCCTGTATTTTTTCTATTACAATTTGAGCATATTCCTTTTTTTCTAAACAATAATTTGTATTATTATTATTATAATTACTACTTTATAATAAATTTAAAAAAATATACTTACAATTTATTATACAATTTATATTAATTTTTTAAAATATTAAAATTAAATGTATTAAAAATATTATTAAATAATAAAATAACTTACCAACTATAATAATATTATAAAATATTATTTAAATAAATTATTTAGTTGAATTTAAAAATATAAAGCATAATTAAATACTAGTATTCAATAAAATAACTTACATACTAAAGTTATTAAATATCTTTTTAAAATTAAAATTTAGTTAAATAAATTATATAAAAATTAATAAACAATTAATAAATAACTTACAATCTAAATTATTAAATAAATATTTAAGTTTAAATTATAGTAATGTATATAAATAATTAATAAAAATAACTTACATCCTAATAAAATTTATTTTTTAAATAAATTAAATTAAATTCAAATTACAATAAAATAAAATCAAATACTATAATCAATAAAATAATTTACTTCCTAATTAATTTATATTTTAAATAAAAAATTTAGTTAAATTACAATAAAAAATACATTTAAATATTGATAATTAATAAAATAACTTACTATCTATAAATATTAAATATTTATATAAATAAAAAGTTATTAGTTAAATATAAATTACAATAAAAAGTAAAATTAATACTAATAATAATTAATAAAATAACTTACTATCTATAATATTATTATTTATAAATAAATTCAAAATAAAAATTTAGTTGAGTATAAATTATAATAAAAAGTATAATTAAATATTAAATAATAATACCCACTAATAAAATTATTTTTAAATAAAAATTTAGTTATCTTTCAATTATAGTGAAAAATTATAATTATATATTAATAATCAATAAATAATTTACATCCTTATAAAAATTATTTTTTATAAATAAAAATATAGTTGAATTTAAATATAATAAAAGTAACATTTAATAAAAATAATTTATCATTTATATTTATTAAATATATATTTTTAAAAAAATTATGATTGATAATAATCAAATATTAATAATAAATAAAAATAACATACCTTTTAATAAAATTTATTTTTTTAAATAGTTAAGTTTAAATAATAATAAAAAGTATAATTAAATATTAATCAAAAAAAAATAACTTATATTTATTTTTTATATACAAAAAAATATAAAATTTAATTAAAATAAAAAGTATAAATAAAAATCTAAAATAATTTATAAATTAAATTATCAAAATTTTTTAAATAAAATTTAATTAAGTTTAAATTATAATTAAAATAATAAATATTCTAAAAAATAAATAACTTACCCTTTAATATAATTAATTTTTAAATAAAAATTTAGTTGAATTCAAATTATAATAAAAATATAATTTAATATTAATAATCACTAAAAATAACTTATTTCCTAATATAATTTAATACTAATAATTAATAAAAATAATTTATTTTCTAATAAAATTTATTTTTTAAAATTAAATATATTTATTAAAGTTTAAATAATAGTAAAATTATATTTAAATAATAAAAATAACTTACCATCTATTATATAATTTTTTA